CCGAAGGGACGGATAGCTCTTGAGCCAAACAGGCTGGTTGCATCCAGAATGGGCTCTGGGGAATAGTATAAGATGTAGCAGGAGCTGGAAGACTCTCAGAGAGTAGCTGTTGAAGAGAGAGGCTCATAGGGTGCTGGTTGTCTGTGCTCAGAGAATAGAAGCATCCCAGTTCTGCTCCTGCCTCCATGTTCTTCTTTTCAGTCTCTGTGATGTGGGATGTAGTGAGGTTTCTCATGCTGGAAAGATTATTCACAGGCACCCGCTTTTCACAGGTGCCAGATAGTAGGATATAAGGTGGTGCATCTCTTGTGCCTGGAGCCTCAAATGCAGTTTCTTTCCTGCATTTAACCTTTTATTGACCATTTTGGTCTTCCTATTCTTGTACCCCAGTAGAAAGAAAATATCCCAGTCTGGTGTTGCTGAAACATGTTTCCTTCGTATTCACATGGAAGGTCCATGGTCATTTCTCCCTCCTATAGGGACAGTGGGGGGTAAAGTGAAAGTTGTGGGAAAAGAGTTTCCCTCTAACACTGTTCCTCCTTGCAGCGCCGGTTCCTGTTTCCGTTCTTCGACTCAGCGTACCAAGGTTTTGCCTCTGGCAGCCTGGACAAGGATGCCTGGGCTGTGCGATACTTTGTCTCCGAGGGCTTTGAGCTCTTCTGTGCACAGTCGTTTTCCAAGAACTTTGGGCTCTACAGTGAGTGTCTGGCAGTAAGCTGGCCCAGTAGTATCATACCCAGACAGATGGGGCTGGCATGCTGGGGGAGCGGGCAGTGCTGTTTTGCCATCATGTGTGGGACAGTGCCTCACATCTCTTGGTTTGTCCACAGACGAACGTGTGGGGAACCTGACTGTAGTGGGGAAGGACACAGACAACGTGCAGCGTGTGCTTTCCCAGATGGAGAAGATTGTGCGCACCACTTGGTCCAACCCTCCCACCCAGGGAGCACGCATTGTAGCAACTACGCTTGCTTCCCCGCAGCTCTTCACTGAGTGGTACGTGTTCCTAGAGCTTGTGGGAGAGGGAAAAGTGGGGAGAAGTTGTCTCCCCGAGTGCCAGGCTTGGCCAGATGGCTCTAAACCAGACAAGTGCTTGTCCTCACTTTCTGCTTCCTGCCTGCTGCAGGAAGGACAATGTGAAGACGATGGCAGATCGGGTCTTGCTGATGCGATCAGAGCTCCGATCTCGACTGGAGTCCCTTGGGACCCCGGGCACCTGGAACCACATCACAGAGCAGATCGGCATGTTTAGCTTCACAGGGTTGAACCGTAAGTACTGAGTGGCCTGGTGAAGGGAGGATTGGGTGAAGACAGTTTTTCTGGAGATGAACCGAGCTGAGCAGTCCAGCCAGGAATCTCCTGGGGACCTCACTGGAGTCTGGGTATCACTGCCTTTTGTGGCTAGGCAGGGATGAAGCATCAGGCAGCATTTTAGTGGCTGCTTTGACCTGACGTTCAATTGTTTCTCCAGCTAAGCAGGTGGAATACATGGTCAAGGAAAAACACATCTACCTGATGGCTAGTGGGCGCATCAACATGTGTGGCCTGACTACCAAGAACCTGGACTATGTGGCCAAGTCCATCCATGAAGCTGTCACAAAAATCCAGTGAAGCACACGAACAACCAAACTCACATGAAGTCACCAAAGCTGTAGTGTGTAGTGTCTGTCTCTCCCTGCTCATGGCTTGCCTTGTCCCACACCTCTTGGGGTTTAATAAAGATGGGAGCGGTAGCTCAATCAGGGAGAATCATCTGTTGACCTTTTTGAAGTACCCCTTGCAATATGGTAAGCCAGTGACCCCAGGAGGGTGGGGGCAGCATGAGCTGCCTTGGCTCTTGTTTGACTGACAGCAGCCTGGTCTTCAGGCACTTAAAGCTGCATCTTTAGCACGTCCAAATCAACTCCACGTAACTGATCAGTTTAACCGAGGTGAAGTCCGGTGCCAGTGCAATGTGCTGTGAGATAACAGCCCAATCGATTGAGAACTCTTACGGCTTGTGAGCAAATGTCACTCCAGTAGTGTTTTGGAGAGGGGTAGAGCTGTTGCTGACTTCCCTGCCCCAAGTTCTGAGCCTTATGCGAGCAAACATTTGTAATTGTGATAACTGCTTCTTTGTGTTGCTGACAAAATTAAACCTCTGTCTCTGAACACTACCCCTGCCTTGTGTAATGTTATGCCTTTAGGCTGTGCTAACCTCTTACCAGGCTGAGGTTAAAGCTCTCAGCTCCTGGTTTGTCCACTGGGTCTTGCTCAGTTTCAAGGGTTCCCCTTTCTCCCTTGTGGTGTGTTGCATCTCTGATAATCACAGTTGTTACTAATGGGGCACAGTCCTACTAGGAGAGTGTAGTTGAGAGCTCCTGTGGCTCTATATGAGGCTGACTGGTTTCTCCCATGTCCATCTTGTGTTCTTTTTTCTGCCCCCTTGCCCTGTGCTGTCCAGCTCATCCTGTCCATCTGTATATGCTTCTTTCTGGATGATTGTGTGCTACCCAGCCATCTGGCCACCTCTCCCTGGCCCAGAGCTCCTGGCCTGCTGCTAATGTGTTGAAAAGTGGATCTTTCCTCTTCCTTCTCAGCAGGACCGTGGTGAACCACCACCTACTCCCCCTGTCTTCAGCAGGGCCTGCCAGCAACAGGCTGTGTTTCTGGCACTGAAAAAGAGCTGGGACCATCTGCTTTTGCTCTCTGCAGTCACTGTTAGCAGGTCTATTTGTGAGCTGGTATTACCGCTTTGACAGCGCAGCCTCCTGCCAAGATTTTGGTGAAGAAAGGGGAACAGCCCTTTTCCTTAGGTCAGTTAGTCACTGTTGCCCTGATGGATTTTGCTTGTGCTGCAGTTTAAAGGCGAAAATGGTGCCTTGTTCCCTTGCTGTGTTTGCAGAGAGACAGCACATGGGAACTCCTGTTTGCCCTTTTCAGATTAGTGTTCACACTAGTGAGTGAGCCAGAGGCGGCCTTTCCTCTGCAGCTGGGGAGCTTTTTCACCTCTTGGTGTCCATCCACATCTGGGATGATGGGGTAGTGGTTAAAGAATGACTTCTAGGGGTGATCTCAGGAAAAGGAGTTGGAAGGAATCAACTCTGCTTTTGTTAATTCTGACATCTGCCTGTACTTCTGTCCTTGCAGTCCTCTATTGTGTGGAGCCTCGCGCACCCCATGTGTGGTCTCTACCACTGCTTTTCTAGCCTCACCATTCTTGTTTTTCCCAATGAGTGACCTAAATTTCTTCCTTTCTGCTGCAGTGTAAGCTCATTACCCATTATCCAATTTACCATGGCAACAGAGAACAGATTATTCCTTTCCTTTTTGCCAACAGCTTTTTATGTATTTGAAAACTCCCTCTCCACATCCTTCACCAGTTAAGATTAAGTGACTCCATTTCCTTCAGCCTTTGGGGTAGGTTGTTTTCCAGCCCTTGCTTTCCTCTGGCCTCCTTTCAGTTGCTGTGGGTTTCCTTACAAGTGCCCAGACAGGGATGCAGTTATTCCAGCTAAATTTTGTCAGCCTTGGTGGACTATGAGATTTCTGTTGTTACCTGTCAGGCTGTACTCCAGCATGTGTGTCCCACTATTGTGTTTGTAATGGTGTGGTGGTAACTCCTGTTCTTCCCCAGTCCTTGTCTGCACTCTGTGGTGCTGAGTGCTTTCCTGACAGCAAGAGTGACAGCCCAGGTTCACTGGGAGATACTGGATTTGCTGACCTGGTCCTCTACCTGCTCCCTTCAGTGATGCTGCGTCCTGTTACTCCAGGAACCTCTGGCTGCAGGTATGAGGGCAGCCTGGCCTGGTGGGAGAGGTTTGTACGTCTTTCCCT